TACTGGTGCTTGGCCAGAAAATTTCAGGCTGGTTGACTAAGATTGTTTCTGAGAGGAGCTAAAGCTGCAGTTAGATCAGATATTAAATCTAGGTTTGGTATCATGGGCTTTCAACACAATTAATGCTATTTTGGGCCTGTGGTTTTCTGTTTAACAATATCTTTTTACAATATATCAATATAACTTGTTAAAGGATTAAATATCTAGAATTCATGTTTAATTAGATTTTGGTTTTCTACCTTCTTAGATACATTACTTCCTAATTATATCATGGCCATAACAAGACAAATTCTGGTGGGATCAGGTAGGAGATGAAAATGAATGTTTCAATTCTGCTTACAAAGTATGATTTACCAAATTTCTCTTAAGTCATAGCTAGCTTAAGTTTTTTTCTTATATCTGGAAAACAAACAAAGAACCAGAAATATCATAATAATTGTAACCATTTCTCATCAGTTCATTGCTTGGATCCAGTTTTTCCATTAGTTCCCTTGACTTTGCCTGATAATTGAGTCAGTGATAATTCCAAGAAGTTTGCAAGGCTGTCCATCAAGGCTCGTATGATGTGCTCAACAAAGTGTTTGCCTTGATCACTAAGCATGGCAAAAGGTATACCCTAAGTGGGAAACACATTTCTTGCAGCAGGGGAAAATGTCAACCCATTCAGAAAACATACATACAAAAGGAACATGCTGGCAACCCATACTAAGTGACAGTCGAATGAAGTCTAGCTTAAATGTACTATGGTCAATAAAAGAATGCAAAAACCGAACAAAAAAAATGTTTTGAAGTGTTTTAGGAGCTCTTTTAGAATACCTCAAAGTCATTTCCAGGTCAGGACTTTATTTATAATTTCAATTGTGGTAAATTTGTTAATACATATCAAAAGGTTTGTGCCCAAGACTTTGTTCAAAGATGTACACTAGTATGGCTGGTGTGGTTCAGTGGTTGAGCATCAACCCATGCACCAAGAGGTCGCTGGTTCAATTTCTGATCAGGACACATGCCCAGGTTGTGGACCCAGCCTCCAGTAGGGGGTATGCAGGAGGCAGCCAATCGATGTTCTCTCTTATCGATATTTCTATCTCTCTCTCCCTCTCACTTCCTCTCTCTGTAAAATCAATAAAGGAAAAAAAGAAAAAGAAAAAAAGATGTACATTAAAGAAGAGATATGTTGTTGTTTTTTTCCCCCTTTATTACTTTCCTTTTTTTAGAGAGAGAGGTAGGGAGAGGGAGAGAGAGATAGAAACATCAATTGGCCATCTCCTGCCTGCCCCCCACTAGGGACTGGGCTCATAAACTGGGCATGTGCCCTGATCAGGAATTGAACCCATGACCTCTTACTGTATGGGTCAATGCTCCAACCACTCAGCAATACTGGCCCGGTGAGATACTTTGTTTTAATAAAATATATATTGTGTACATATAAATACATTTTATAAATGAATAAGTAAATGACATCTTTCACTTAATGGATCCACCTTTCCTTAGCAAATTCAATAAAACAAATTCTATGAAATATGTTAAATGATTCTTTTATCTCACTGATATTCTTTTGTCCCTTTGCTGTTCTTTATGTTTTATTTTGATTCCTCTGTATATTTCTTATTTTCATTAATAAATCAAAATAATTTTAGATTATTTAGGAAATTGAAATATATATCTTAATATGCTTGTAAGGTAAGTAGTTTTAGAAAAAAAATAATTCTACTGTGATTATTTAACATTTATTGAGTTCTACTTTGGAGTTATAAATTGAACTGAAGGAAAATGCCAAATGATAAAATACTTGATTTTTAGATGTGTAACAGACCTGAAGTCTGAATTTCAGAAATCAGTTTCAAGGATCATATCTGCAAGATTCTGATGAGTAAACACAGTTTGGCACTTTTTTGAACTTCTCATGAGGCTGTTTATCTTGTGATATTTCTCTGGTAGATGTCTTAGAGCAAGAGGATTCTGTGACTTTGCTGTTATTTTTATTTGTATTTTCAAAAGTGTTTTACTCACACAAGACATAAGCCTTACTATTCTTGATTTTTTAAACAATATTTAAAATTTGTCCTGTGTATATAAAAAGAAAGTGGTGCCAATGCTTTAAGGTTGATTTAATGCAGTGGTTCTCAACCTGTGGGTCGTGACCCCTTTCACAGGGGTCGCCTAAGATGTAACAGTAGCAAAATTGCAGTTATGAAGTAGCAACAAAAATAATTTTATGTTTGGGGGTCACCACAACATGAGGAACTGTATTAAAGGGTCATAGCATTAGGAAGGTTGAGAACCACTAATTTAATATCTTACATAAACTTGACTAATGGTTAATATACATTTTGACACAGATACATGTATATATTTATGCTGAATATGCTTCATTGGATATCTTCAAAAAAGTTTAGAAATCTTTGATTTTTGATTGAGAATGTAGACATTGGAGTTAGTAATCTGAGTTCTATAAATATATACTAAAATAACAACATATTTGATTGCTAAATTTTGGGGATTTGTGAAAACATGCTATAAAAGAGTTTCTTGTTTGGTGGAATTTTGTTGAAGCCACATCATCAAAATGGTACTTGTTGAGATAAGAAAGTTGAGTGGGACATTATAAACAAATTTCACTGTGTAAACTTCTGTAGGGGAGGTGTGACTCTTCTCTGCCCTCTCTGATTCTGTGACCAGGTTTGAGAATTAAATTGACCAAAGACAAATTAACAGGAGAAAAAGCGTGACAGATTTGTACTTGGTGTTAATATATCTATGTGGCATGGGAGCCTTTATAGAAAAGAAGTAAATAACCAAACATAGGATAGGAGAGCTTCTATACCATTTCAACAAAGAATGACAAATTGTGCGGGTGTGATAAGACAAAGGGAAAAGGGTTTGAGCTGGGGATGGTAAATTGTAAGAAAGTGATGAGGAACTATATGGGGAAACTCATAGGAGAAAAATATTATTTTATCTCCATGTCATTTCTCCATCTCTAGTGATCAGAATATTCTCTTCCTGATTCAGGGAGGGCATCTTCTCACTGGTAATTTTATGTCCTGATTTTGTACAAAGGGGAGGTCAGAGACCCCTTCCTGCATCTACTGTTTCTCAAGGATCTTCAGCTCAAAATAATCAATATGCTAAAGTGATATATTTTAGGGTGGCATGTTATGACCTCCTTAAATTCACATATACACAGAAACTGAACAAAAAGACCTCCATGTAATCACCATCCAGTTTTTACTGGGTAATTAATAATAATAACAATTTATTATGAACTCATGACCAATCTTTTTCACTTAAATGCAAATCTTCCCCTTCACACATCCCTTGAATTATTTTGAAGCCAGTCTGAAGAGCACATATAATGATATTTTTAAAACAGGTTTTAAAAATTTATTTCAGATAGCTATGATATATTAACTTTTCTAAGAAGTTTTACTTCCACTATTTTATTAACTTTGTTACTATTTTTCATACAGGTGAAGGGTTATGGATATATAAAGTAAAAATTTGAATGATTGTCGTTTTGATTCTGTCTGGTTCCATCTAGCTTTTTAAGCCAGAAACCAAGGAGACATAAACTACTTCCTTCTTTACTCTTTCAATTTGATGACCAGTGGCTGTCAAATATTGTCCTCTTACCATCTCTGTCACTTACCTACTCTCATACCTACTTACACTACTTCAGTCTTGTTCCTCTCTAATTGTATCTTGTACAGAGTCATTATAATAATCTTTATAAAACACGTGATCATGTCACTACCCTACCAAATTCTCTTTGAGACCAAGGATCCCTTATTTTTAGCCCCCTGTTCTGTTGGCTGGTATCCCTTCTACCCACCAAAGTCTGAACACTCCCAACATTTACATGTGCAGAGATTTTTTTTTTTTTAATATTTAAAATTGATATCCCACACTTAGAAAACTGACAATAAAAATGGGAAGATTTGGCATCATTCCAAATAACTTGAGTCAAATAGCTGATCTTTTAGGACAAGATGTGGCCTTGGCCACAGTTCACACATCTTGCTCCTTTTACCTATTTTGTTACCTGCCTAAGGGCTGCAATCAGAATTCTTTGGTATGGCATCTGAGCCTCCTCAATGCCAACAGTATCCTTTCTTTTCAGATCTTCCAACTTCTCCCATACTGAATTATTGGATATCCCATTGCAAACACAATGCCTCTGTGTCTAATCCCTGCCTTTATTCCCAGCCTCCACTCCTACCTGGGTTTGTCCAACTTTTGCATCATTCTCTCTGTCTGGAGCCACATCTTGTCTACCCAGGTGTCTTTGGTGTCTGGCTTTCGTGGTGCTTTAAGCAAGCACTAAAACACTATTCCTGTGCTCTTCACATCTGGCCATTAATTTCTGCATTTCTTATACCTGTCATCAAGTGTGTGCTGTCTTCTTTTTTTTAAAAAAAAAAAAAAAACTATTAGTGCTTGCCACAGGACTTGACATACTATAGGTGTACAGGGTATATTGGATGAATGATTGGCTGGTTTAGTTATCTTTAGACAATAAAACTACAAATTGATTGAGAAGTGCTTAGGGCAATAAACATCACAGACAGTCCAAATATACTCTTTTTTAATCATGAAGCTCTGGGCTAGTTTCTCTAACTGGGTCTCAGAAGTAAATGAGAATCCCTTAAGTTCTGCTAACAGTCTAAATTGAATTCATTTAATTCCTTGATTTCTACCACAAACCTATGATCTGTGATTTCTGAATCTTGCCTTTGGACTTGAGACCTGAAAGTGTTTCTCTCTGCCTCCTCTCTTTTCCTATTTCCTCTCTTATCTATTAATACTTATCAATTTCTCAACTGCCTGTTTGCCGAAGAAATTAACCCTTACCTCTGGGATTCAAACCTTCATTCAATTTCAAGTTCAAGTGTGTCTTCTTGGCCTCCTGTTTTTTATCTGGCTCACACACATACCAACTGTCTTGCTTTGTATGAAACAGTGATATTTGAGGAGGTTATGTTGACAACATCAGGTGGCCCATGGGTAAAGGAAATTGCCGTTTTTCCTTAAACTCTAAACTCTCCAAGAAGGCTTTATTTCATATAATGAGGCTGGAAAATGTGGGTTCTGGTTCCGACTCTGACACTGGTTTGATGTTTTCGGGTCAGTTTGGGTAAAAGAGTTACATTATGATAAATATAAATATACCAGTCTTTCTCTTGAAGTTAAAACAGGTTTGAGAAAAGAAGAGACTTGTAGAAATTGGAATCCTTTCATTTAGTAGTAGTGATTACAATGAGTTTCCCAGGGCTCTAACAAATTGCCATAAACTTACAGCTAAAAACAACAGAAATTTATCCTTTCATAATTCTCAAGTCTAGATATTCTAAATCAAGGTGTCAACAGGGTTGTGTTCTCTCCCAAAACTCTAGAAAAGAATCTTTCCTTGCCTCCTCCTAGCTTCTGGTGGCTCCTGGCAATCCTTGACATTCTTGGCTTGGACCTGCATTACTTTGATCTCTGCCTCCAGGGTCATATGCTCCCCCTGCCCCCATATCTGTGTCTGTGTCCTCTCCTCTTATGTGGATACCAGTCATTGGATTTAGAGCCTACCCTAAATTTAGGATGATTTCATTTCAATATTCTTTAAATGTCAATAGCCTTATTACTTTAATTTTTTAAAAATTTAAATTCACAATTTTTAACAATAGAAGTGTCCATTCTTTTTAAAAGATTTCTTTGGGTAAAGATCTTCCTAATAGGCTCATTCTGTCCCATGTTCTTCTTAATAAAATGATGATGTGGAAAATAAATCTGAATGTTAATTATTGTAATAAACTTAACCTACTCTTTCCCTGAGATACCAGGGACATTAATCCTTTCTTTATTCCATTTACTTTTTCAACTCCCTGTCATTCAGGCGTTGGTACTGGTAGTTGGTAGTTGAATTAATTTTTCATACCCTCAACTTAACTTTAGGAGAAAATTTCTAGATCCTGATTAAGGAAATTTATATGGGCTTAAACTATGAAAAATTTTAGCTCCTTTACATTATCTAAACATAGGAGGAAAATCCATGATCTTCAAAGCAGTAGACTGTAATAGTTCTTAAGATTTTATTTTATTCTGTCTATTGTGTTCTCTTTAGAGTAATTACTTTTTCAGCAATGGAGATGAATGGATAATTTGCATGGTAAGGACACAGGTTTCTGGGGAGAATGGTACAATTCTCATTGTAACTTCACAAAGCAGTATACGACTACTCTAATTATTACAAAATTTTGTTTCTTCCTGGAATCACAGAGCATTTAAATATGTCTTCCTGTAGGTAATTTTTGCAAATAGAAAATATTAAATAATATTGAGCTTAATTACTTATTCTTAGCTCAGACTATTTTATTGTACCACAGAATGTACCATAACACCTTACACTGTGCAATCAGAATGACAAGATATTCTCATTTAAAGACTATAAAAGACAAAAATTCATATATTGTTTTTATTAAAGTAGGCCAGTACTAATCCTTTTAGTGAAAGATATAATGTCATAAAATGTTTTATTAACTTTAAATATGAGAGTACATTACTTTGAGATATGATAAAGCACTGCTCCAAATAGCACTTCAATAAGAGAGTTTGACTGATTTAGTAGCTTTAGGTAAACTTTTGACTTACTACTTCAGAAGTAAATTTTGCCTTCTCCTATACCTATTCCCCTTCAAAAAATAAAAAAGTCTCACAATTCTATGAAAGGTTGTTTTCAATTTTTGGCAGACCACTATAAAGTGGTCTTTTAAAAAATGAACAGGAGCCCGACTCAGTGGTTGAGCATTGACCCCCACCAAAAGGTCACCGGTTCAATTCCTGGTCAGGACATATGCCCAGGTTGTGGGCCAAATCCCCAGTGGGGGCATGCAGGAGGCAGCCAGCTGATGTTCTCTCTCATAGATCTCTCTCTCTCTTTCTAAAATCAGTAAAGAAAAAAAAATAATAATGAGGGGTTCAACTTGGAAATTATTTTTATGTAACAGGCTTTTGCTAAAGCATTGCTTGATACAGCATTCTGCATGACGGGCAAGGCAAAGGAAAAACAGCTGCATACACCTCTCTGCAGGCTCAGTAATGATTTGAGAAAAGAAGACAAATGTTGGCTATTATAGGACTTGTATGATACATAAGAGGAAATAACTTCATTTATTCAAATATAGGAGTCTTCCATCTTCAAAAATGGAATTAAACTCCCTGTACTTAGAGTCGAGAACTTAGTTAAGCTTACAATCTCTGATAAAAAAAAAAAAAAAAAAAAAGTAGTATAACAATAAATTCTATATTTCTTTCTTTTTCAGTTATAGATGAAGCAACTTGCAATGCCTTCCTGAAACATGAAGCAGGAAGAATAATATTTAAAAGCAATATCATTATACTTCTTTATCCATCAAAGTGGCTTCATTCCACGATTCTATCTCCTGTGTTTAAATCTTGCATCAAACATTGGATAAACCAAAGTGTGTAGAAAGAAATAAGTGATTTTCTAATCATTACTCTTTGCCGTGAGAATGCTAAAGTTCAAGCATGTCTTCTTTAGAAGCTTTGTTGGTTCCAATGGAGCGTCCCAGGTTGTGTTCGCCTTCCTGCTGATTCCATGTTGCTTGGCTACGGATTTCAGAGCAGCCCCTTTTCTCCCAAATATTTCTTTTCTCTGGGGTTGGAATGCCCCGACTGAACCTTGTTCTAAAAAGTTCAGTGTTTCAATAGATTTGAGCCTCTTTTCTTTAATAGGAAACCCCCAAAAAGATGCCATAGGACAACCCATTACATTATTTTATGTCGATAGACTTGGATTATATCCTCATTTAAATAAGCATAACCAACCAGAGCATGGAGGACTCCCCCAGTTGGGTAACTTAACAGCGCATTTGAATAAAGCTAGGACAGACATTAACACATACATACCAAAAGACGACCCAGGCTTGGCTATCATTGACTGGGAAGAATGGAGGCCTATCTGGGCAAGAAACTGGAAACCTAAAGATATTTACAGGAATAAGTCTATTCAGTGGGTTCAGCGACAAAATCCAGGACTTTCTGCCATTGACGCCTCCAACAGAGCCAAACAAAATTTTGAAACGGCAGGAAAGAATTTCATGAAAGAGACTTTAACATTGGCAAAATCCATTCGGCCAAAAAACTTATGGGGTTATTATCTTTTTCCTGATTGTTACAATCATCACTATACTGGACCCGTTTACAATGGGAGTTGTCCTTATATAGAAATGCGAAGAAACAATGAGCTCGGCTGGTTGTGGAGTGAAAGCACTGCCCTTTATCCATCCATTTATTTAAATACCGTTTTAAAGGATTCTATACGAGGGGCACGCTTTGCCCGGAACCGTGTTCTGGAAGCCATTCGGGTTTCTGGAGTACGCAACGCTAAAAGTCCACTTCCGATTTTTGTATATGCTCGTCCAGTTTTTACTGATGTATCTTCAGAATATCTTACAGAGGTAAGCAAATCAAGGTATGAGGACTATGAAATAGTGCCCACAAATAGTGTGGTAGAATTTAACATCATTTAAAAATTTTTTTTATGAGAATTTGAGCTAAACTGACAACCATATGCCAGGAGCAAGATGTCAAATGTTCTGGAGAATAAAAGTTTTGCAGCTTAACATCATTTTTTAAAATCATCACCCAAGGATATTTTTCTATTTATCTTCAAATGGAGTGGGAAGGAGGGAGGCAGAGAGAGAGAGAGAGAGAGAAACATTGACCTGAGAGAGACACATCCACTGGTTGCCTCCTGCACTACCCTGACCGGGGCCAAGGATGAACCCTAACCTAGGTGTGTGCCCCTTGACTGGAATGGAAGCTGAGATTCATTGGTCCAGGGGCCAGTGCTCTAATCACTGATCCAAACTGGCCAGGGCTTAACATCATTTTTGAAGGGAGTAAAATTTAGCTTTTAATATCTTTTAGGAATATTCACCCAGGTGGTTCTGCATTATTACATGAATGTAAAATAAGCATATATTTCATTTTAATGTAATCATCTTAGCAACCATGGAAAATTAGGTAGTATAGGCAATGTATTAATTCAGTTTCTTTTTTTCTTTCATGACATAACTAAAAATAATATAAATACCTGTATTTTTGTTATAGTAGGGCAGTGGTGGTGTGAAAGATGGAAATAAATAGGGAAAATAAAAGAAGAGTAATATTTCATAATACATAAACATTATGTAAAATTTAAATTATTATAGTTGGGTCAGCATTCTTAGCTTTGGTGTATGACATTTTCATTCTTATCTGCTATTTTTTTCTGTCACGTTTGCCAGATGGACCTTGTGAATACAATTGGTGAAACTACTTCTCTAGGTGCCTCTGGAATGATACTATGGGGAAGCTTCAACTTAAGCCAGACTGTGGTAAGTTGAACTGATAAAAAAGAGATGAAAACATGCATACTACTTTTCATGTTTTTGAGGATTGTCGTGGTATTGAATAATAAAATAAATACTATCCTGGCCACATAGTAAGAAGTGCTTAATTAATACTGGTTGAATCAAACTATCTTTCATTTATGTGGTTATATTTTTAGCACAAAATATTGCTCTTGTTTTTCAGTGAGAAAGAAGAAATTCAGTGAGAGTAATTGAAGTTCTCTAGACTATGTGGCTAATAAGTAGTGTTTACTAGTCACAGGACTAGAATCTCAGTTTTCTGACACAGTGTTTGGTGTATTTTTCTATTATACTGTGCTGTGTCTCTTTTCAAAAGTGGTCCAACTAGTCAGTATGCATTCATTCATTCTTCCAGTCATTCAATTACTGCTCATAAAGCACTTGTTTCTCCATTTAGTCATTCTGTGACAGTTTATTGCAAGGGTCAGCAAGCAATGTCCATGGACCAAATCTGGGCTACTGCTTGCTTTTCTCGGCAGAGTTCATGAGCTAAGAGTGACTTTTACATTTTATTTTTTCTATTAATTAATTAACTAATTAACTAATTAATTAATTTTTGTTACAGATGTTTCTCCTTTGTCCTCCACTGACACTCTTCTCCTGCCCCACCCCCACAGCATTGCTATCTATGTCCGTTGGTCATGAATATATACATAAATTCTTTGGTTTATCTCTTCTCTCCTCAACCCCCCCTCCTATGAGGTTTGTCAGTCTGAACCCTACTTCTACGTCTCTGGGTCTATTTTGTTCATCAGCTTATTTTGTTCATTATATTCCACAAATAAGTGAAATCATGTCATATTTGTTTTTCTCTGGTTGGCTTATTTTGCTTAGCATAATACTCTCCAGGTCCCTCCATGCCATCTCAAAGGGTAAGAGATCTTTCTTTAGTATTCCATTGTGTATATGTACCACAGCTCTTTTATCCACTCATTTATTGGTGGACACTTGGGCTGTTTCTAGATCTCAGCAATTGTAAATAGTGCTGCTATGAACACAAGGGTACATATATTCTTTCTGATTGGTGTTTCAGGCTTCTTAGAATATATTCCTAAAAGTGGGATTACTGGGTCAAATAGCAGTTCAATTTTCAATTTGAGGAAACACCATATTATATTCCATGTTGGCTGTACCACTCTGCATTTCCACCAGCAGTGTACTAGAGTCCCCTTTTCTCCACATTCTTTTTTTTTTTTTTTTTTTTTAATCCTCATTCGAGGACATTTTTCCATTTTTTGTACAGACAGAGTGGGAGGGAGAGAGAGGAAGAGAGAGAGAGGGAAACATCGATGTGAAAGGGACACATCGAGTGGCTGCCACCCGCACAACCAACCAGGGCCGGGGACAAACTGCAACCGAGGTACATGCCCTTAGCGGGAACCGAACCCGGGTCTCTACGGACCGCAGGCGGACACTCTAACCGCTGAACCAAACTGGCCAGGGCTCCACATTCTTTTCAGCACTTGTTGTTTGATGATTTGCTGATGGTAGCCATTCTGGCAGATGTGAGGTGATACTTCATAGTCGTTTTAATTTGCATCTCTCTGATGATTAGTAACTTAGAGCATTTTTTTCATATGTCTCTTGGCCATTTGTATATCCTGTTTGAGAAGTGTCTATTTAGGTCCTCTGCCCATTTTTTTTTTATCCTCACCCGAGGACATTTTTCCATTTTTTTGTACAGATAGAGTGGGAGGGAGAGAGAGGAAGAGAGAGAGAGAGAAACATCGACGTGAAGGGACACATCGAGTGGCCGCCACCCGCACGACCAACCAGGGCCGGGGACAAACTGCAACCGAGGTACATGCCCTTAGCGGGAACCGAACCCGGGTCACTCCAGACCCCAGGCCGACGCTCTAACCGCTGAACCAAACCGGCCAGGGCCCTCTGCCCATTTTTTGAATTGGATTCTTTGTCTTCCTTTTGTTGAGTTATATGAGTACTCTGTATATTTGGGAAATTAACTCCTTATCCGATGTTTCATTGGCAATTATGCTTTCCCATATAGTGAGTTCCCTTTCCATTTTGATGCTGGTTTCTTTTATTGTGCAAAAGCTTTTTAGTTTGATGTAGTCCTGTTTATTATTTTTTTCATTTGTTTCTCTTGCTTTAGGCAGTATATCAGTGAAAATTATTCTGTGTGTTATATCTAAAATTTTGTTGCCTACATTTTCTTCTAGGATTTTTATAAATTCAGAAGCCACATTTAGGTCTCTTACCCATTTTGATTTTATTCTTGTGTATGGTGTAAGTTGGTGGTCTATCTTCATTTTTTGTTGCATGTAGCTGTCAAATTTTCTCAACACCATTTATTAAAGAGGTTGTCTTTACTCCACTGTATGCTCTTGCCACCTTTGTCAAACATTAATTGAGCATAAAGTCTTGGGTCAATTTCTGGGTTCTCTGTTCTGTTTCATTGATCTATATTCCTGTTCTTGTGCTAGTACCAGGCTGTTTTGATTACAATGGCTTTGTTGTATAACCTGATATCCAGTATTGTGATCCCTCCTACTTTGTTCTTCTTTTTCAAGATTGCTGTGACTATTTGGGCTCTTTTTTAGTTCCATATAAACTTTTGGAGTATTTGTTCTAGTTCTATGAAACGTGTCATTGTTATTTTAATGGGGATTGCATTGAATCTATCAATTGCTTTGAGTAGTATGAACATTATAATGATGTTAACTCTTCCAATGCATGAACACGGTATGTGCTTCCACTTTTAAATATCTTCTTCTATTTCTTTTTTCAATGTTCTGAAGTTCTCTGTGAACAGGTCCTTTACTTCTTTGGTTAAGTTTGTTCCTTGGTATCTTAATTTTTTTGCTGCAATGGTTAATGGAATTGTTTTTGTTTGTTTGATTTTCTTTCTGTGTGTTCACTATTGGTATATAAGAATGCTGTCCATTTCTTGAGTTTAATTTTGTATCCTGATACTTTACAAAATTTATTTATGTCATCTGAAAATAATGACAGCTTCACTTCCAATTTGATCCCTTTTACTTTTTCTTCTTGTCTAATTATTGTGGCAAAGACTTCCAGTACTATGTTAAATAAGAGTGGCAAAAGTGGGCATTCCTGTTTTGTTCCTGTTCTTAAGGAAAATGCTTTTAGTTTTTGCCCATTGAGTATGATGTTGGCTGTAGGTTTTCATATATGACCTTTATTATGTTGAGATATGATTCCTGTATTCCCATATTACTGAGCATTTTTATGAGAAATGGGTGCTGGCTTTTGTTGAATGCTTTTTCAGCATCTATTGATATGATCATATGGTTTTTATCTTTCATTTTGTTTATGTGGTGTATCACATTTATTGATTTGCAAATATTGTACCATCCTTTCATCCCTGGGATAAATCCCACTTGGTCATGTGAATAATTTTTTTAATGTATTGCTGGATCCAATTTGCTGATATTTTGTTAAAGATTTTGGCATTTATGTTCATCAGGGATATTGGCTTGTAGTTTTCTTTCTTTGTAGTGTCTTTATCTGGTTTTGCGATTCAAATTATGCTGACCTCATAAAACGAGTTTGGAAATTTTCCTTCTTCTTGAACTTTTTGGGATAGTTTGAGGATAATGGGCACTAGTTCTTCTTTAAATGTTCGGTAAAACTTCTCCATGAAGCTGTCTGGGCCCACGTTTTTGCTGGGAGTTCTTGATTACATCTTCAATATTCTTAGTTGTTATTGGTCTGTTAAAGTTTTCTATCTCTTCCCTGTTCAGTTTTGGGAGAGACTGTGTTTCTAGAAATTTGTCCATTTCATCCAATTTGTTCAATTTGTTGGCATATAATTGTTCATAGTACTTTTCAATGAACTTTTATATTTCTGTGATGTCAGTTGTTACTTCTCCTCTTTTTTTCTTTTTTATCCTCATCCGAGGACATTTTTCCATCTTTTGTTCAGATAGAGCGGGAGGGAGAGAGAGGAAGAGAGAGAGAGAGAGAGAGAAACATCGACGTGAAGGGACACATCGAGTGGCCGCCACCCGCACGACCAACCAGGGCCGGGGACAAACTGCAACCGAGGTACGTGCCCTTAGCGGGAACCGAACCCGGGTCTCTCTGTACCGCAGGTCGACGCTCCAGCCGCTGAGCCAAACCGGCCAGGGCTACTTCTCTTTTGTTTCTGATTTTGTTGATTTGGGTTCTCTGTCTTTCTTTGTGAGCCTGGCTAGGGGGTCCATCAGTCTTGTTTATCTTTTCAAAAAATCAGCTCTCTGTTTCATTGATCTTTGGAATTATTTTTTTAGTCTCTATGTTGTTTATTTCTACCCTGACCTTTACTATTTCTTTCCTTCTACTTGCTCTGGGTTTTTCATTTTGTTTATTTTCTAGTTCTTTAAGTTGTACGATTAGATAGTCAAATAAAAATTTTTCTTGTTTCTTGAGGTAGGCCTGTAGTGCTTTGAACTTCCCTCTCAGGACTGTTTTTACTGTGTCCCATAGATTTTGTGTTGTTGTGTGTTCATTTTCTTTGGTTTCCAGGAAGTTTTACTTTTTTTTTTTATTTTACAATTTTTTTTTTTTTCCTCACCCAAGGATATTTTTTGTTCAGCTAGAGTGGGAGGGCGAGAGAGGAAGAGAGAGAGAGAGAGAAATATTGATGTGAAAGGGACACATCGAGTGGCTGCCACATGGACGACCCAACTAGGGCTGGGGACAAACCACAACCAAGGTATGTGCCCTTAGCGGGAACTGAACCCTGGCCTCTCTGGACTGCAGGCCAATGGCTCTAACCGCTGAGCCAAACTGGCCAGGGCAGAAGTTTTAAATTTTCTCCTCAATCTCCTTGGTAACCCCTTTGTTGTTTAATGACATCCTATTTATCCTCCACGTGTTGGAATGTTTTTATTGTAATTGATTTCTAGTTTCATGCCATTGTGATCTGAGAAGATACTTGATATGATTTTAATCTTCTTGAACTTGTAGAGACTTAATTTGCGTCTTTACATGTGGTCTAT